CAGGGGAACCCCGCGATTCTCCGATCGGGCCTCCAGCCGAAACATACGCTACTTGGGCTAATTGCGGGCAGGCGAGTTTGCCGGAGGAGTGCGACTTCGTCGGGGGATTGCAACGGGCGAGGATACCTGGTGGCCTGTTGTCTCGCTGCACCCGCAAGAAAATCGGGGAGTTGTAACAGAAGGGGGGATTCGGGGCTGCGCCGTATCTCGGAAGATTTTGGAATTTCATCCAACCGTGTATCGAAATTTAAAAATTCTAGTTCCCCTCAACAGGTAGAACTCCCGCTGCAAAGGGAATATCCAAATTCATTTGCCTATTTAGCGCAGCTTGCAGAGCCCAACCCTCACCAACACAATCATCGAGTGAAAGGTGGGTTGCCAAGCAGCTGTGTGTCTACTTCAAGGCAGGAGAACTACTCTGGTACGTGGGAATTTTGCCTCTCAGAAATCTGTCTCTGTGTTTGGGTAGATGCTATTCCTACCATAAACTTTGTTTTCAACTTCTCAAGCTTCCCTTAGGCTCCGATTGGTGAACTGCATGTTGATATTAATCATTGTGATTTGACTTTGCTGCAGTCGGTCACCATGGCTCGCATTGCGAGTGATCAGGTTGTGGAGTTCTCGCTCACGGAGATTCAATCCGCCAGGGTGTGCAAATCGAGGATGTTGCTTGGCCGTGTCTTTGCGGAGGAGCGGCTGTCAATTGCTGAACTTCGTGAAGGAACCAACAACCCATGGCAAGGCCAGGGAAGAATCAAAGTAAGGGAGGTGGGCCATGGATTATACGAGTTTGTCCTCCCATCTGAAGCAGCTAAAAACTGGGTGCTCCAACGCACTCCATGGGTTATAAAGGATAAAATCCTTCACCTGCGTGCCTGGACACCGAATATCACTGAGCGGACGTTCGAGGAGATGGCGATTGCACCTTTCCGAGTCCAAATGTGGGAGGTACAGGAAGATTGTTGCACTCATCAATTTGGCAGAAAAGTGGCGAGTGCCACCCTAGGCCGTGTGCTCGAAGCAGGCGTGTTCTCCTGTACGGATACAACCAGGACGTTCATTAAGGTTAAAGCCCTCATCGACTTCTCCAAACCGCTACGATCTCAGATCATGGCGACGAACGAGGAGATGGGCTCTTTTTGGATCCAATTCAAGTATAAACACCTCCCCAGTTTCTGTTACAACTGCGGTCGTGTGGGGCATTTTCGCCAGAATTGCAGGTTTGATCCGCCACCTAGAAAGGAGAGGTTTGGCCCCCATATGGCGACAAAAAAATGGGTAGGAAGATCTTCGATCAGGAGGAACAAAATCAACATCCCAACTCGGTCTAGATTAACTCCACCATTCGTCAAAAACCGGGCCAGGCGGAACAAATGGAAAGGGTGGAGCCTCGACCTGAAGCTTTGGGGCGGCGAGACCCGCCTTTGGCAAACAACTTTAGGACTGAAAAAAGTCCGCTGTGGATGGGATCTTCGGACAACCCGTTCGCCACGACTGAGCCTGAAGTGCATCGATCTTTGCCGGGGAGGAGCCCTCTTCGGTTTCCAATGACAAAAGCCCCTAAAATTCCCCTGGTCAAGACTGGGCGTCGTGGGATGGGGAAGACCATTCCGAAGGGCAACCCGATGGAGGTGGATGGGGAAATGGGCTTGGCCCGGGCTGCGGGCCACCGTGGGAGGCAGGGCAGAACCTCGCGGGACATTCGAGGCACGGCGGCCGCACCAGAAGGGAACCGCCGAACAAAGACAGGCGCGGCGCGGGCAGCACTCCCCCTGCTGGTTCTTCCCCTGGGACGGCAGCCAATGAGCTGTCGCGTCGTCGACGGCTCATTCTGGAAGACGATTCGAAGGAGGACTTTGTGCTGCAGCCTGTACCATCCAGAAGCAAGAAGGAGGATCGGATGCTACCTCCACAAGCGGAATCGAGCGGCGGAGGGGAGGCTGACCTTAGGGCGGCCCGGATACGGCCCGGATAGCCCAGCAGAAGGGGAAAGAGACTGCGGATCCGCCCCGTTTGGGCCCCAAGCCGAGGACTGGGCAGGCCCAGGTGCTAAAGGAGGCTCCAGCGGGTGCAGGCCCACAGAGGAGAAAGGAAGGAGGAGCTAAGGGGGAAAGGCCCAGCAAGCCCAAACCCAGACCTAGAAAGCAGCGGACCAGTCCATCGGCGGGCCGGGCCCATGCGGAGACTAAAGGGCCGCAGACAGGGCAGACGGACCTAGCGGATCCAATTGAAGACCGAGAGTCACCCGATCCCATAGTGGAGCCACGGGATTCGGAGGACACTTGCTCGGAGGATGAGGGCCATCTCTTTGAACTAAGACGCCGTGTGCCGTCGGCATCAGGGGTCCTGAAGCGGCTGGTTAAGCAATCTCGGGTCAATCAAGTTGTACGTGCTTTTGAGATGGGATTGGCAATGCAAGACAATGAGGAAGTTGGCGATAAAGACCAACCCCAAGCTCAAATTCATGCAGGCAATCAGGATCCGGTGGTTGAAGCTACTCACCATGCTCCCCTAAATGAATATGGATCCAACATTCCTGAGCTGGGGGCGAGGACTAAAAAGCGTCATTTTGACGAGATAGAGGGGGAGATGACTGAGAATCCAACCCCAAAGAAACAGTTTGTTGAAGAGGATGTGGAAAAGGTGGAGGAAGCCAGCCTTGAATGGCCCCAACCAGATAAATGAGGCTTCTGGCCTGGAATGTGAGAGGAATTGGGCCAGCCCTCACATTCCAAACTGCTGTAGGTTTATTGCGTTCTAATAAACCGGATCTTGTGTTCTTCTCGGAGACACGATCGAGTCGGCGTGTAGTTACCCGTCGCATGAGGGGGTTAGGGTTTCATCAGTCTCATTGTTTCTTTGTAGATGCTGTTGATGCATCGGGAGGGTTAGTTGTAGCTTGGTCCCCCGGGGTAGATGCCTCGGTGTTTTTTCATTCCAACTTTTGTATTTGCACTCGGATTAATGAAGTTCAGCTTTCTTATGCTGTGGTTTCTGTCTACTTTAGCTGTGATATGGCCACTAGAGCCGCTCAATTATCCCAATTGCAAGTAATCTGTAGCGCAATCCAGATCCCTTATGTTGTCATTGGTGATTTTAACGCTACTCTCCATGAGAGTGAAAAAGATGGTGGGAATGACTCGAATGCGACTCAGTCTCTTAGTTTGCGCGATTTTATCTGTGATCTTGGTCTTCATGACCCTGGGTTCCAAGGTGATCCATTCACATGGACTAACAGGCGCATGGGATTGGCCTGTATTCGGGAAAGATTGGATAGGGCTCTGTGCTCTCAGACTTGGGTGAATCAGTTTCCGGAATCTATGGTTAAGCACTTCACTGATCAGGGATCGGACCATCGGGCCATCCTCCTCTCCGACCAGCCTTATCGGCGCCATAGCCTCCCTCTGTTTAGGTTTGATGCCCAATGGGCGGACAATCCTGAGGTCAGAGCTATGGTGGCCTATGTGTGGAAGGAAGAGATCCAAGGAACGCCCATGTACCAGCTCTGGGAGAGACTTAAGAAACTTCGCCATCTGCTCTATGACTGGAGTACGGCTGGTACAACTAATTCCTTGCAAAATATCCGGACCCTCCAGTCTGAAGTGGATTGAATTAAATTAGTCCAACCCATTGATTGGGATACAGTCCGTACCTTGGAATCTGAGCTCTCTAGGCAATGGGAGGCGGAAGAGATGTATTAACAACAAAAGTCTAGAGTAACCTGGCTGAAAAAGGGGATAAAAACACTTCTTACTTCCATACCGTCACGAGGACCAGGAGGAAGAAGAATTTCATTGCCGGTCTGCGTAACAACACTGGGGATTGGATCACTGATGAGGCTGGGAAAGCGGGCATTGCCAATTCGTTCTACCAAACCCTGTTTACCTCAGAAAACCAGGTAAGGGATATGGCGGACAGAGTGGCGGCCCTCCCTATTGATCGAAGTGTTACCCCTGAGATGAATGCTTCACTCACAGCCCCTGTCCATCCGAATGATGTTCGTCGAATGGTGTTTCCTATGGGTTCGACAAAAGCTCCAGGGTCGGATGGTTTCACTGGCAAATTCTTTAAAGCTTTCTGGGACATTGTTGGGGAGTCAGTGAGTGATGCAGTTTGTTATTTCTTCTTGACAAGCAAAATGCTTAGGAGTTTTAATCATACTTGGCTGACTTTGATACCCAAGGTCGATGCGGTGGAAACCATGCGGCAGCTTCGTCCTATCAGTCTCTGCCAGTTTGTTTACAAAATCATCACTAAAATAATGGCGGAACGTCTGGCCGAGTTCCTTCCTAGTATAATCTCGGAGGGGCAGAATGCTTTCATCAAAGAGCGCCAGATAGTGGATAATGTCCTGCTAGGGCATGAGTTGATGCATTACTTGAATATCAAGAAACAGGGGAAGAAAGGATACATGGCTCTGAAGGTCGATATGGAAAAGGCCTATGATAGAGTTGAATGGCCCTTTCTTCTTGCTGTTCTTGAGAAACTGGGCTTTAACTCAACCTGGCGGGGATGGATCCAGGAATGCCTCTCTTCCACTTCCTTTTCGATTCTAATGAATGGTTCCCCCTCGGGGTTCTTTTCCCCGACGAGGGGTCTTCGACAGGGGGATCCTCTCTCGCCGTTGTTGTTCGTACTGTGTACGGAGGGGTTTGCTGCTCTCCTACGGAAGGCTATTACGGAGCGGAAATTGGAAGGTGTGAAGGTCGCTCCACGTGCTCCTTGAATCTCCCACTTGTTCTTCGCTGATGATTCCTATTTATTCCTGCGAGGATCTCTCGAAGAATGTGAAAACCTGATTGAGGTGCTTAATGAGTATGAGGAACTCAGTGGACAGAGGGTTAATCTGGGCAAGTCAGCAGTTTGCTTTAGCAAGAATATAGCTTTGTCTGACCAACAATTCTTGGCCCAGATTCTGGGTGTGGGTGCAGTGGGCGTCCATGATAAATACCTAAGCCTGCCTACGCTGATATCCCGATCTAAGATGGCTACCTTTCGATATCTAGAGGAGAAACTTTTGGAGAGACTTCAGGGGTGGAAACAACGGACTTTATCCTGGGCGGCAAAGGAAACCTTGATTAAATCTATTGCTTTGGCTTTGCCCCTTCATGTAATGTCGTGTTTTAAACTCCCTCTGTCGCTCTGTCGACTCTTAGATAAACATATAGCCCGGTTTTGGTGGGGAACTACAAATGACCATTCTAAAATTCGATGGATGTCATGGCGTAATATGTGTCGAAGCAAGCATGATGGGGGTATGGGCTTCCGTCGCTTCGAGCAGTTTAATCAGGCTCTCTTGGCCAAGATCGGGTGGCGTATACTTAATGAGCCTGAGTCCCTCTTAGCCCAAGTTTACAAAGGGAAATACTTTCCTAATGGGGGATTCCTTAATGCTCAAGCCCGATCCCGACCATCCTGGGGGTGGCAGAGCATCCGTTTTGGTAGAGCACTGCTTGAGAAGGGTCTTCGATGGCAGATTGGTGATGGCCAGACTGCTTCTCTCCTGCATTCCAGTTGGTTTCCGGATTTGCACCCATCATTACCGGTGCATAATCCTCAGGTTCTCCCGCAGGGTGGGAGCCCTTGTGTGGCGGAGGTTTTGTGGCCCGGGGAGGGGCGGTGGTGTGAAACCAAGCTGAGCCAATGGTTTGATCCCCCTACCTGTCAGGCAATTAAGGCAATTCCCCTGCCTCGTCATCCGGTGACGGATAGGCTTATTTGGCATGATACGTCAGATGGTCAGTTTACTGTTAAATCGGCCTACCATCTTGCGGTACTGGTGAGTAAACAGAAGGGAGGGTGGTGTACGTCGGTGAGTTGGATGGATAAGGCAAGCTGGATCCGTCTTTGGGGGGCGAATATCCAACCAAAGTTGAAGGTGTTCCTTTGGCAAATTCTGAATAGGATCCTCCCAACTACGGAAGCTCTTATTGAGAGAGGGGTTCAGGTTCACCCAAGATGTCCAGTATGCTGGGCCGACTCGGAAACGTTAGAGCATCTCTTTCTCTTTTGTCCAGTGGCGAGGGCACTTTGGGACCTCTCGGGATTGGAGTTTCTAGGCCAGGGTTTGCCTACCCATACTTTCCCCCTGTTTCTGAAACGTGTAATGGCTCTCATTCAGCAACCGGATTTGCTCATGGCAATGGTGGCGGTCCTCTGGCGGATATGGCATTCTCGGAACTGGGTGGTGTTTGAAGGCAAGCAGTATGGGATCCCAGCTTTGATGCGACAATTTTCCCAACAGTATGAGGAGTGGGTGAGCCTGCCGCTGGACCAAGGTCTGCCATCACCTAGAATGGCTATCCCCCCGACTCCACCAATAGGCGATACTAGGGTAGTCTGTTTCTGGGATGGGGCTACCAGGCAGGGTGCTCCCTCAGCCGGTGGTATGGTGCTTATGACCTCGGGGCATGATCTGCTGCTAGCTAGGGGGGTCAGATTTCTTGATATGATGGACCCGATGGTAGTGGAGCTTCTGACTCTTCGGGAGGCTATTGGCTGGTGCTTGGGGCTGGGGTTTGCGATGGTTAGGTTTGAGGGGGATGCCAAGGTGATTATCGATAAGGTGACTTCGCGGCAGGCTGATGATAACCGGGTGGGGGCTATTCTGGCTGAAGTTCTTCACTACTTTGATTCTTATCCGGGGTTGAGTGTTCGGTTTGTAGGTCGGAATAACAATAGGGTAGCCCATAGGGTGGCTAGGAAGGCCCTTTCTTTGTCTCCGGCTATGAATCGTGTTTTTTATTTCCAGGCCTGGCTGGGAACCAGGATGTAATTATCTGTTCTTGAATCATTATAAGATTATCTTTTGTAAAAAAAAAAGGATTGGAAGGTAAGATTTCGCCTTGATTACTAACTAATCGGAAAGAGTTTTTTATATATATATAGGAGAAAAATGGGGACTGATCAAAGAGTTTTAAACTTCACTTATGCTTTGAAGTTTGTATAGATTTATTATCATATTTAATTACTTGAATCAAGCATTAAAGGTTAATCTCTTAACTTATTGTGCTTCTTACCATCAAAGGCTTACCAAACCTAATTTAATTTTTTTTATGAAACCACCTAATCTTTTTTTAGTTAAACTACACCTAATCTTATGTCAAACATTAAATGTCAATCTTTTACCTAGACATATGGATATTTAACCAAATGGTGATGCGATATTTGTGTAATCTAGGCTTACCACTTCTAATTTTTGTGCTAATTATATTTTCAAAAATGTGGTGAATTTTACAATAACATATTTGATAATAAAAGTAGCGTTTCAGCTTGATTAAAGATTATATATAGAAAAGATATTAATAACTCCAACTAAATGTTGGGTAGTGACAGTATAAGACTAGTAACATTCACAACGCTATCGTTAGTATAAAATATTTATAAGACCGTATAGAAGCTGCAATTAAATTAGTTTGTCCAAAATCAATTTAGAAATCCTTTAATCAAATAGTAAATCTTTTCTATTAGTATTCCAACTTATCTTTTCTACAGAAGACTAAATCATTAGACAATTTTCAATGGTATGAAACTGTTTTAATCACGATTAGGTTCAACCAAGATTCCAACACAAAATAGTTGTTATAAACGCGCTGCTACGGATCGGGAAATCGCAGGAATCGACAAAGCAAGAATACGAAAGCGAGAATCGAAAACACGACACACGATTTACGTGGTTCACTAACACGATTTGTGTTAGCTACGTCCACGGGCGAGAGAGAGTCAGTTTCACTATATCAAGGAGATTAAAAATTACAGAGGAGTATGAGAAGTATTTATAGTACTTCTCCATGTGGGTCTAAACCTAATCCAATCTGGCAAAGGAAACGGTTACAGACCAGGCCCAGAACCCGAACCCAAATAACATTGAGCCCATACACCGTGGGCCGAGGGCGTTGCCCCCGCACCCCCACCGGGGTGTTGCCCCTGGACCCCACTCGCCGACCGGGCGGCGAGACCCCCGATTACCAGTCGTAGCGGCTGATAATCCGATTCAAGTCACATCAACAATAGTGAATACCATACTTTTGATTTTTTCGGTACAACCTTTGATATGGTTCCGCGTTTATACCAACCGTTCTTCATGGTAAAAGTAAAAGTGTGGTTGTACCTCTGTATGTTAGTTTCAGTATTTCGCTTCATATCAAGGAGTTTATTAAAGTCAGTGAGTCCCGTTATCGGCGGATCTAGGACTGGGCCAACCCGGGCCACGGCCCAGCCCTCCGCCGGATCCATAGCTAATATAGAGCTTATAAATTGTTTATTTTAGGTATTCGGCCTAGTATTATTTAATGGTTGGTCGAATGTTATTTGATAATAAATTTTGTGTAGTTAGAAAATAGTCTAAATGAACATATGCAAACCATTACTCTCAGTTCATTCTAGGAATTCTAGCCCGAATGATTTTCATTGAAAAAAAAACAATAAAACCTAAAAGTCTAAAATGTAAAAGAGTGTATAAAGTTTCATTGAAATAAGAAAACTCTCTAAACAAATTGATTTGTTGGTTGATTCGTCTAGTGTTGACCTTGCTCGTTTCAACGTCTACCATGGAGAGAACATTTTAAGCAATGAAATATGTGAAAACTAATTTGCGCAACAAAATGCTCTATGAATTTCTCGTTGATTGCTTAGCTATTTTCTTTGAGAGAGAGTATGTTATTGATATGTATGGAGATTCTATATTATTGATGGATTTGCAGAATTAAAAAACCTTCTATTACAATTGGCATTGTAATGAATGAAAACTATTGTTATCATATATTTTTGGGTAAATACAATTTATTAGTCAAACCTTTTAGACTTTCCAAATTATTAGCCAAACCTTTCGAAATACAAAATATTAGCTAAATCTTTTGTAACGCATCAAAATATTAGTCATTTGTCTGTTACCGTTGGTAATTTTGTAACTATTTTTTATTTGAAATACTAAAATTTTAAAATGTTGACAATTTTTGTTTACGGTATATAATATTATATTATAATGCGGCCTAGTGCTCTACTGTGTTCTGAATTCGCCGCTGGTCCCGTAAATATTTAGAATGTAGAATTGGAAGAGACCACGGGAGCAAACTTTATATCGACAAAACAAATGAAATGTTTTTGGAATTTGAAACTAAAATTTCATTCCGAACGACCACTTTCAGAGGCGGCCATATTAGTGTCATCGATATGTCCAATCGAGAAGATCGCTAGCAAGGTTGTGAACCCGCGAGTAGACCGGCCGACTTTGATCCTAATCCGATGAGGAAAATGGGTTGCACGCATTTGTCGAGTCGATCGTTACAACGTATCGGGTTGGAGGTCAAATTGTGTCTTTTTTTTCTTTGGTTTGTGAAATGCGCCTATTTTTCGATTTTTCTTTTCGTCTAACTCAATCTTTGAAATCCCTAGTCGAACATTTGAATATTGATGTTATATAAGTGTGCGTGAATTTTCGCTATATGTTGGATCTAAGTATGATATGTTACTTTGGTGTAATGTATATTATATGTCATTACTCATATGTTAGAGATTAAATTTGATATAATTTATCAGGATAAGTACAATATAATGACTTTTCGTATTTTTGGGCTGAAACAGGCTAAAACGGGTGACCTGTTAACTCTTGACCCACTAGCTCGACCGGGTGCGGGTTGACAACCTTGATTGCTAGGGAATGACTTCGCCAACAAATAATCAAAGTCAGCTTAACAAACACGACTCGCACACGGACAATCAACCTTCACTTTCTGTGGAAATAATGAACTCTCGCACAAGGAAGAAGAAGCTATATGTATGTATAGTAGGTGTACTGCGACCGCGACTGCCCATAAAAAAAAAATAATGCCACGTTTGAGGGTCATGACCCCATTCACCCTTATGCCACTATGTTGAACCTTATTCGCAGGAAAATTAGTCAAGATTGGCTGGTTAGTATAACTCATACGTACCGTGAAGGAAATAGAGTCGCGGACTGGCTCGCGAAGCACAGTCTCGTCTATCTCTACGGAATGCATGAGTTGACGTTTTCGCCGCAGGGTGTTATCTCGATCCTACAGGATGATGTTAGGGGTATTACATTTGAGTGACGGATTGTGGCAAGCTCCTCTTCTTCTCTTTGACTCCCTCTCTTTGTAACGGTTTTCTTGTTCTTGGCCTCGGCCTCCTCGTTATGAAAAAAAAAATGTGAACATCGATCCATATTTAGTTTCTCAATTAATATTCTGTTCATAAAAAAAAAGTTACTCAATTAATATTCCTCTCATAAAAGAAAGAAAGTCCACATAGAAATTGTCACTAACCAGTAATCACTGAGTCAATCATCTTTCACGCAGTGTTCATGAAAGAGGAGGAGTAAATTGGGGAAGGAAAGGAAAATTTAGAGAATAAAAATTTGATAATAGTGAAATCACGAAAAGAAAAGGAAAAAAAAATGGTGAAAGGAAAAAGGAGGAGAAAATACAGAGGAAAGATGATTTATTAAATTGATAATGAGAAAAACGATTGTGTGTGAATATCCAAGTATGCCAGAAAACTCATACAAATATGAACACATATTTGGTTTACTATTCAATCCATGTATAGGTATGAGTATGCACAGTGGTGGACCCAGGATTCTCGTATAGGCGTATTAGTCGATAAAATTAAATAAAATAATAAATAAGTTTTAATTATATTTTACTGTGAACAACGAGTAGTGGGATCGAAAGATGTAAAGGGAACACTAGGATTTTTTTATAAGATAGTAGTTCATATGCAACCGGACTTCCTATGAAAGAGCATTTTTGTCACTAGGTGGACAACTATGTGAAAGCTACAAGGATCAAGAAGAAACGAAACTTATTCAATTAGGGAGAAACAAGAGAAAACTTTCTTACGATTACCCATGCCTAAGACCTAAGAGCAATAAACCATTGCGTCTAAATGCTTAAGCAATGAAAAGAACCCCAAATTTGTCATAAGTTAACTAAAATTTAAAATTAAAATATATATTTTCGTATTTTGGGAACTTTATGATACCAATTTCATTGTAGTTTATTAAAAGTGTGTCGATTATAATTATTGAAGGTGTGTCGAAAGTCCTAGTTGGCCCCATGGGTGGGATCACTTTAGTAGTATCCCACGCTAGAGGTCTGTCTTGACCCTGCTTGCAAGGGTGGTCCTAGCCCTCTTGCCGAGCACATCTGCACCCTTCTGGTCCCTATAACGGACTATGTTGGATTAATAGTATGAAATTTACCTGCAAGTGGTGTCACTCGAGTGGCGATAGCACGCAACGGTTCTCTGTTATTAAAAAAATTGTTCCAATCATGATTGTCATGCCGTCGTTGGAATGTCGGCCGCTTGAACCTGGTACAACAGGTGCTGGGTATGAAACCAGATGGAATACCACTATATAACCAACATGATTGATTTTCGATCTCTAAACAAAATGACATCATTTTAGTGAATTTAATTAACAAAAATTGGTTTATTTCATGAATGAATTTAAAATTTATATGTTGATGTTTTTTTTTGTGCATTTGAAGGAGGCTACACCCAAGAAAACAGAAAGAGTTACAGGGGGAGATTAAGCAGGAGAAGTTGAGCTAGCCACTTTCCGACGCTCAAAAGTAATGCCCACAACATCCCCACGAAGCAACGGTGCCAGCCCAACAGGAGGATCTGCCAACTCATACATGTCATAAGGATAGACGAAAATGTACTTCGAGAGCCAGTTCATGACTTTATTCCCTTCCCGGTAAGTAAGAGACATGCGAACCAACCAATCTTGACTAAGCTTCCTTCGAATCATTCCTAGCAAAGTAGCAAGAGGGTAAATCGGATCATGTCTGGTCTGGATCAACTGAAGAACTAGTTTAGAATCTGAGTCGAACTTGACAACGCGGTACCCCAGCTTCCACGCTACCTCCAAGCCGTGAAGAATTGTCCAAAGTTCAGCCAATACTGCAGTTGTCATTCCAATATTTGCCACAAAACCTCCCAGCCACTTTCCACTCGATTCCCGAATCACACCCCCTGTCTCAGCTAAACCAGGATTACCATTTGAGGACAGTCACACTCACGTAGGATATGACTGATAGTCTTTGGCTGCCCTTCACATATCAAACAGAAGGGTGTCGTCGCTGCTCTCCTGTAGTGCCTAAGAGAAATGGAAGAAATCTTGCCCAACATAGTCAACCAAATAAAGCTTCTGATCCGCTCCTGAACTGGCAGCCGGCAAATGGCTTCCCAAATTTTATCGTTGTCCTCGTGTTGATGTTATTTGTTTGATCAAACATAAATGGTTGTATCTAAATATAAGTATTTGTTATTTTCTTTGAAATATAATATTAATATAGATTGTAAATAAATTGTCTTCAAATAATTTTTATATACTCGTAAGTTCATTTGATGTTTCATATATTCATATATTTTGTCAAACTAACATGACCGAATACAAATCTATTACACCAATCAAATTATACCAATTACTAAGGGGTCGTTTGGAAGTTGTGATTGTTAGAGTTGTGTTTGTTGAATACATGTATTGTGCACAATACAATGTTTGGAAGTGCCAAAAATGTAAATAGGTCCCAACAACAATCACAAAAAATGATACATTATACAATCTCAACTAAAAGTTGTGATTGTTGCTTTTAGATTTGTGTCAACTTTTTCTTTCCATTTATATCTGTAATAGTTTTTGTCTTATACTAAAAGTTGAGGGTGAATATGACATTTTCCCATAAAAATAACTTTATGTAAATCAATGTATAAAGTAGAATCTCAACAAACAATGTATTGTTAAAATGCATTCATTGACCATTATATCCATACATGTATTTATATTATGGTGAATTTATATTATCGTGATGCATTACAATGCAACGATTTAATATTCGCAACTCCCAAACGACTCCTAAATCGATGTAACCGATTTGCGTTTGACAACCTTCGTTGAAATCCAAACTCGGCAATGGTGGGTACTTCTGGAATAAGCAGATGGGCTCGAAACAGCACTCCTTCGCAGGCCCAATTCAGAATCCCGATAATAAGTATATATCAGCCCACAACCAATTAGATCCAAAATTTAGAATAGGAAAAATGTAAAAAGCAAAAAACATCGGAAGAAGAGAAGAGAATAGAACTGTAGAACAGTAGAAGACGTTGGTGGAAGCTAGCCTGTTGGCTGGAGCATGGAGCTTTGCGGTGACTAGTGAGTGAGACAGACACGTGGCAGCAGCATACGGCCCCAAGGAATCTCTAGGAAGGATGCATAAAGTGTTGAGCACAACAAGCTAGCTGCCCAACCTAATTCTCACATTTCTACTTATCAGAAGCATTGTTACTTTGTTCAATAGTTAATTAAGGAAGTTAATTTTATTTTTATGGGCAGGTAATGATCTCATAATAAATAAATAAATAAATAACGAGTCCACAAGCACATCGCACTCTAGTAGTTTTAAATTAATATTGATTTAGGATTTACCCCAATCACTCACAATTAGGGTTTCGCTTAATTTTGTCAATCCTTCCTGTATTGCTTTCAGAAAGAAACATGAAAATGGGCCAGGCCCAAAACAAACCGGGAATAGAAAAATGAATTGGGAATTGCATATGTAAGGGGTAAAGGGGATGGAGAGCTCAGGCTTTTTTGCTAGGAGTCGGGCATGCAACGGGGAAGCAAAGGCGTCTAGCAGGTCAGATGTTTTGTTTTGTTTGCACTCCTCATTTTTAATCATTTTAATTCCCAATCGATCCCTTTAGCTGTCTTCTTCCAAAGCAATTAATTAATTCTAAATTTAATTGCAATTTTGGGCTTCTCTAAACTCCTCTCTCCATCGCCGATCTTTTCTTTTTTTTATGGGAATCTGGATTTGTATTATTTTTTTTTTTTTACAAAAGATAATCATATATTGATTGAAAAGAGACACAGTTACACCCTGGAAAACAGCCAGGCCTGAAAATTAAACGAGCGAGACGTAGACGGGTACAAAGAAAGGGCCTTTCTAGCCACCACATGGGCTACCCGATTGTTCCTCCGACCTACAAATCGCACACCAAAACCCCTGATGACTCTCCAAACAGTGCCAGATTTCTTCCAAGATCATCCCAATCCTATTATCTCTAAGCTCAGCTTGATTAAGTTTGTCGATGATGACCTTGGCATCGCCTTCAAATCGCACCTCTTGGAACCCATTGGCCACGCACCATAAGAGAGCCTCTCTGAGAACGAGTGCTTCCACCACCAGGGGATCATCAATAGCCTGAAACTGGACCCCTTCCACCCGGAAGACCTCCCTATTTGAATCAAGAAGCACCATGCCGCCTGCAGAGTGAGACCCTGCCCTTGTAGCACCATCCCACATACACACCAGCGAGGAGCCCTCTAGCCCCTCTGGAGAATGGACAGTAGGCCACCTCCGTATCTCATTCGTGTCAGCAGGCACCCGTGCCCACTCTTCACATTGCTGGTGGTACTGACGCGGCAGCAACCTTTTAAGAAAGAGCGAAAAGGTGTGAAGCGGCAGCCCTTGTCCCAGGTGTTCAAGGCCCGAATAATCCCATAATGCCCTAGCCACTGGACAATCCAGGAAAAGATGTTCCATAGTTTCCGGAGCCTCCCAACAAACTGGGCAACGAGGGAGAACCGGAACACCCTTCTCAATGAGGCCCTCAGTGGTAGGGAGGATACGATGGAAAATTTGCCAAATGAACACCTTTAACTTCGGCGGGATATCTGAACTCCAAAGCCAGACCCAACTGGCCCTATCCATCTAACTAGCCGAAGCTCGCCAACACCCATTCCTTTGCGCCAGATCAACCACCAGATGATAAGCAGACTTGACAGAGAACACACCATCAGACGTGCCATGCCAGATCAACTTATAAGGCAGATCCTGTCTTGGAAGAGGAATAGTCTGGATCCTTCTGCACGTAACAGGGTCAAACCACTGACTCAGCTTGGTTGCGTTCCACCCCCTCCCTCCCCCTGAGATATAACCTCAGCCACCCTTGGGTCCCCCTCATTCGGGAGCACCTGCGGATTATAGATTGGTTTATCAGGATGCAGGTGAGGGATCCAATTCGAGAAGAGCAAGGAGGCCGATTCCCCATTCCCAATTTGCCAACGTAACCCCTGCTCAAGCAATTGTCTCCCATAGAGGATACTCTGCCATCCCCAGGAAGGCCTCGAGCGAGCTTTTGCTTGGAGGAAGGTCCCCGTGGGGAAGTATTTGCCTTTATAAACCTGCGCCAGTAAGGATTGGGGTTCCTGAAGGATCTGCCAACCAATCTTAGCTAACAGAGCCTGATTGAAATGTTCAAATCGACGGAAGCCCATGCCCCCATCATGTTTACTTTTGCACATATTTTTCCAGGATACCCAGTGAATCCTTGACTGGTCCTTAGACACCCCCCACCAAAATCGAGCGATATGCTTATCCAGAAGCCTACACAAAGACAAAGGTAGCCTAAAACAGGACATAACATGAAGCGGTAGCGCTAAAGCTATAGACTTAATCAAGGTCTCCTTAGCTGCCCACGACAAGGTACGTTGCTTCCAGCCTTGTAATTTCTCCAGCAGTTTATCCTCCAGGTAACGGAAGGTAGCCATCTTAGATCGGGCAATCAGGGTCGGCAAACCCAAATACTTATCATGGACTCCAACCGCCCCGACCCCTAGAATCGCCGCCAGGAATTCTTGATCCTCTGGGGTAACATTCTTACTAAAACAAACCGCGGATTTGCCCAAATTAACCCGTTGCCCACTTAGTTCCTCATATTCATTAAGAACATCGATCAGATTTTCACATTCCTGCAGATTGCCTTTCAGGAACAAGTAGGAATCATCTGCAAAAAATAGATGCGAAATACAAGGAGCTCTGGGGGCAACTTTCACCCCACTTAACCTTCTATCAGCAATTGCCTGGCGTAAAAGCGCAGCAAAGCCCTCAGTACAGATCACAAAAAGCAGGGGGGATAGAGGGTCCCCTTGACGAAGCCCACGGGACGGCCTGAAGTACCCTGATGGGGCCCCATTCATTAAGACCGAAAAGGATGTTGAACGAAGGCATTCGTGGATCCACCCTATCCACACGGGATTGAACCCCATTTTCTCCAGGACTGCGATCAAGAAGGGCCACTCGACTCTATCATAGGCTTTTTCCATGTCAACCTTTAGAGCCATGTACCCTGTCTTACCACGCGTCTTGATTTTCAAATAGTGCATCAATTCGTGACCAATCAAGATGTTCTCCACAATTTGTCGTTCACGGATGAAAGCATTTTGCCCTTTAGAAAAAATTCCCGGTAGGACATTGGCTAGCCTTGATGCCATGATTTTGGTAATAATTTTGTAAACAAACTGGCACAGGCTGATTGGCCTCAACTCCTTCATGTTTTCCACATTGTCCACCTTAGGAATCAGAGTTAGCCATGTATGATTAAAGCTTCGAAGCATCCTGCTCGTGGCAAAGAAAGAACGGACTGCTTCGATTAATGAATCACCAACAATACCCCAACAGGCCTTAAAGAACTTCCCTGTAAAGCCATCAGATCCAGGGGCCTGCTTGGATCCCATGGCAAAAACTGTCGTTTGAATTTCATTAGGCAGGACCTACGCCGTAAGCATCTCATTCATCTCCTGGGTTACACTAGGAGCAATCGCAAGCCCATTAACTCGCTCCTCCATGTTATGTACCTGATTCTCTGAAGTAAAAAGATTCTGATAGAAGTGACAGGCAATGTCCGCCTTCCCTTTTTCTTCAGTAATCCATTCACCATTAGTATTAAACAGACCAGCCACAAAATTCTTTTTCCGCCGGGTTCGAGTGACAGTATGGAAGTATAAGGTGTTTTTATCACCTTTCTTTAGCCAATGAACCCTTGATTTCTGCTGCCAGTACACCTCTTCAGCGTCCCATTGTCGATTCAATTCCATTTCCAGGACCTTGATCTTCTCCCAATCAATGGGATGTTGGGACTTACTATGCTCAATCTCGACTTGGAGGGTTTTGATATTGCGTAGCGAATTGGTGGTCCCAGCCCTACTCCAATCATATAGAAGATGCCTCAAGTTTTTAAGTTTTTCCCAAAGTTGAAACATCGGAGTCCCCGAGATTTGCTCTTGCCACACGTATCTGACCATTGCTCTGACTTTCGGGTTTTCTGCCCACCGGGCATCAAACCGAAAAAGGGGACGACTTTGTCGAACAAAAGGTTTATCCGCTAGAAGAAGTGCCCGATGATCCGAGCCGAGGTCAGTGCAATGCTTCACAAGAGTATCGGGGAATTTATCTACCCATGATTGTGAGCAAAGGGCCCTATCCAATCTTTCGCGGATACACGCATTTCCAAGACGTTTGTTTGTCCAAGTAAACGTATCCCCCTGATAGCCGGGATCATGAAGCCCAAGGACATTAATGAAGTCGCGGAGACTCGTTGAGTTCGCACCGCTCCAGGCATTACCACCATCTTTTTCCTGCATGTGCAAGGTGGTATTGAAGTCACCAATAACCACAAAAGGAAGCTGGACAGTGGCACAAACATCCCGAAGATGAGTCAACTAGGTAGCACGGAGGGCGGAATTACAACTAATATAAACACAAAAAACCACATAGGAAAAATTGATTTCATTAACTTCAAAGCCGATACAGAAATCCAAATGAAAAAACACCGAAGTAACAACTTCAGGGGACCAAGCAATAACAAGACCACCAGATGCATCCACGACATCAACAAAGAAAGTATGCGACGAATCAAAACCTAAACCCCGGAGACGACGGGAGACTAACTTCCGGCGAGCTCTTGTCTCAAAAAAGAAAACAAGCTTCGGTTTATTTGAATGAACTAAACTTAAAGCAGAACGGAATGTGAGGGTTGGTCCAAGTCCTCTCACATTCCAGGCCAGAAGCCTCATCTATCTTGCTGGGACCACTTCAGGCTGGTTTCCTCCACCGTGTCAGCAAAGTCTTTTTCATCCACAAACTGTCGTTTAGGAGTAGGGATCTCACAGTCCTCTCCATCCACCTTTTGAAAAGCCCTTTTCTTCTCATTAATTTGTAGGGCCTCATAATTTGACCCGTACTCATTTAAATCTCCAAGATCTCCAGTCAAATTAGAGGATTGTTCCCCAACAATCTCGCCACTAGTCAAGATAGGTGCATCGTTCAGCGGGTGAGGGAGAGGGGCTCGCCAAAGCTTAACCTTGCTTCAAAAGCTCGAACCACCTGCTGGACGTGACCACTAGTCGGCCGCTGTCCTCTGCTTCTAATTTCGAAGCGATTCCCGTCTCCCTCCGGGTTGGTTTCAATTGACACAACCCCCGGACTCCTCTTTTGGATAGGCGCATCCAAGGTTGGGGAGGAAATAACAGCTACAACCTCTTTCACAGGGACCTCCACCCAATTACCCTTTTCAATGCCCATCATTTTAGACCCTTGACGTGGTGTCCTCTGCTTCTTTTTCTCCACCATCTTTTTTGGAGTTTTATCCGCAACCTCAGCATTGGGAGACTGGCGAGCGATTGAGGCTTTGACAAGCCGGCGAGAGGTTTGCTGGCGGGTAGAACCCACATTCGCAGCCTTCAACTTAGGGATTGTCTTCTCGCGTCCGTCAGCGCCATTTCCACCCTCCCCGGCCTGCCCTGTGCACTGCAGAGAAGTGAACAAGGGCCCGACCTCATCCTCCGTTTCTTCCTCTAGCAGCAATCTCCTCCTGTGAGGTTGAGGTGTTGCTGGGCGCACAAGCTTCTCCTCATATATAGGAGAATTATCTTCCTCCCCTTCTGGGCCGCGAGCCCCAACAGCTCTTCCCTCGGTAGCCTCATTTCGAACCACCTTTTTCACCGGCATCCCAGAGAGCCAGGTTTCTACTTTCTCCTTTCCCTTGTTCCGGCGTTGCAAGCTGGCGGTCCACTTTGTTTTTGGCGAGCGCGAGATGGCAAAGCCTTTGGGGTGGCGCCTAGGCCGCCCCTGCTGCTCCCTCGACATTGCTCCGCCTGCATTCCCGGTATTTCCTTCCTGCTCCTGGTTCACATCTTTCCTAGCCGGGTCATCCTTATCCATTCTCTCCTACTGCAAATCCTCGCTACCACGGGCCAGCTTGGGTTGACTCCTAGCGCCTCTCAAGTCGTTATTGACCCAAACTGTTTTGGCCCGCCCTTGATAAGGAATTGTTATATCATCAGCATCATAAACCCTTGTCCCCAATTTCTTAGTTATCATATGGGGACCAAAGCGTTCCTTGCAATTAGGGGGCTCAAAAGTACAATCCCTTTGATAGTGTCCCGCCCGCAGTGAAAGCAGAATGAGGGTAGGTGCTATTTCAGTCGCACCCAAAAGCATTCAGTTTCCTCACTGGCAGCCATTATTTGTGATCGCAGTGGTTGAGAAAAATCAATCATCGCTTTCACCTTTATGAAATATTTGCTTGATTCCTGGCAGGAGTAGACACCCGCCTCGAGCACCTGACCGATCTTGGGCCCTGCCATCTTCATACCAAATATTGCGGTGCAACAATCATCTTTGACATCCCAAAGTTGCACCCGAAAGGGGGAAACCGCCAGTTCCTCATATGTATGTCTTGTTACAGATGGCGTCCATGGCCGTAGGTGAATGATTTTGTCATTTACCACCCAAGGGGTTCGTTTTAGTACCAAGATTTTGGATTCCTCATTGGGTAAAACGAATTCAAATAGGCCATGGTTGGCTTGCATCATCTTTATCCTCCCTTTGCATTGCCAAGGGGAATTAACTGCATCCCGTAGCTCCACCGGCAAGACCCGAGCCGTGGTTAACACTCGTCCAAGCAAAGTGTGTGAACTGCGCATCTTGACAGATTGGACTTCGTTCAGTGAGAATTGCACAACCTGGTCCTCGTGCACATGAGTAGCCATTGCGTTCTGCATACAGGGGGGAGAATCAGAGTCATCAATGACATCCGAATCAACTAAACTAATCACACTGGAGGAGCTCTCCTGCCGCAAGTTAACAATAAAAGTGGGGGCAGGGCTTTTTCCTTTATTCACCATATACGAGATAAACAAACCAGACTCGATTTTGGAAGTACCTGGGGAAAAGAGGCAGCCTGTGTTGTTGGGTTGCTCACCACCGACCTCGCTATTCTCCACCTTACTGCGTTGCTTACAATCTCCTGTTGTTTTAGGAATGCAACACCCAGTTCGGTATAAATAGGGAATGTCAGGCAAGTGTTTGTCTCCAACCAGGATACCTCCTCCCCTGAATTTTAAGCTGTAACTGACTCGAGATAGGGGATAAGGGACTTGGATCCCCGATTCTCTACCCCCTTCCGCAATTTTCTGGTTAATCAATTTGTTGGGATTAATTTTGTCCCTTCGGAGATATCGGGCGGAAATCCCCCCTTGCATACCGAATAATCCGGTATTCGGATTCCCGTCCGTTCCCAACCTACGTCTCGCTGGGGTGTTTCCCGTTGGCTTAGGGAGTACCTCCGTGGGTTTCCCGGTCGATCCATATCCACCGTCCTATCAAGCCAATCCTTCAGGTATGTGCAAGGGATTGGAGATTCTGTCTCCTTCCTTTCTATTGTCCTGTGGATTTGGCATTTCAGATCAATCCCCAGTGGAGCACATGAATTAGGGAGGTTTTTGACCGATTCCCCCACTGCTTTTCCACTGGGTCTCTGTTGTACATGTTCCTGCCGACACGAGGGAGCAACACCAACCTCTGTTGCATCCATCTCATCCGACGAAGGGAGAGTAAAACACCACGCTTTCTTACGTAGATCCCTCCTATTCTTCTTGATCAAGGAGTAGTTTATATCACACTCCAAACCTGAATTCCCAAATTTTCTCTTTTTCCCTTTGGGCAACAATCGGGAATCAGATCGCCGATTGGAAGACCAGATCCCATACCCATCCTCGTTCCGATTGGGATGCGAATCTGCTCGGCTTTTTTGGTTCGCCCTGGTCTAAGCCAGGCCTTGCGCATTCCATCCATGCTTCTGGTTTCGCATGCTTGCAAGCAGAGCTTTCTTGATGGCTTCGATGAACAGGCAACCGACGAGGAAGCAAACGCAGCGGAGAGAGGCGAGAGCATCTCTCCACATTTTTTTTTACAGAATTTTTTACATCTGGATTTGTATTAATTAGAGAACAAAATTACATTATCTAATTTCAGCTGATCTAATAAGTTCATTGGCGGTCTATCCAACCAAACTACTCTCTCGTTAATACGGGTAACTACTCGGGCCCTTATATGAGCCGCTCCATTTGCCTCCTTCGGCAAGTGTCTCCCCTCTCTGGAATAGTAATTATCTTTTATGACCAATCAAGAGAAGTTCAATTACGACTAGCATACTATAATTATTTTTTTATGGAAATATGTGAAGCTTCTTATTAACCAGTATAAGTGGCTACATTATCCAACACTAACTGATTAACCAAAAAGGATGGAGGACTATCAATCCAAACTACTCGTTCGTCCCAACGCGACTCCGAATGAGCCATACAATGCGCTGCCATATTGCCTTCGCGGTGAATATGCTGCCAAGATCCCAAGCCCGACTCCTCAAGATATCGTCGGATACTTCGACACACAACTCCGATTTCCGACTCAATCTGCTATGCATCATCAATCTTACTGATGAGACTAAGGCTATCAGTCTCCAAGATGGGGTTCGTAAGGTTGTGTTGTTTCGCGAGCTGCGCTTCAAATTCTGCTGCAAATGCTTCCGCTTCTTCCACAGCCCAACTTCCACGTAGCCTCTTATTCGCAGCCATCAAGAACTGGTCGTTCGTTCCTCTTGCTACCATGCCCGAACCAATCCCTCCATCAAGGAAGATTGCCGCATCCGTATTGATTTTCACCCGACCCACAGTGGGTGGGATCCATCTGGATTGATGTTCACCATCCGAGAGTATTCCGGTCCGAGATTGGTGTAAGCGATAATCTTCAAGGAAAAGCTTTGATCGGGGGATGATGTCCTGCTCCTTCAATTTTTGTCCATTAAATAATTGCGCGTTGCGCTCCCGCCACATGAACCAGAGTGCAACACACCATGATTCAAAATCCTCCTCCTTCCTCACCTCCATCACGTCTTTCGCCCATTTGTAGCAATCATCCGACGTTCTTAAGTTGAAGCACTCTACCAGGTCAGATTGCCGCCATAGCCGAGAACTCCATTCGCAAAGACCGAACAAGTGAGTTTGCGTCTCTGGTAACCTGCAGAAAGGGCACGCGTCATCCCACCTTCTGCTTGTCGTACCCATCTTATCGCCCGTAGGAACTAGGAAGGATGCCGCACATAAATCTCCACATAAAATGCTTGGTTTTTGAAGGAATTCTCAGCGCCCACAGCTTCTTCCAGATCGCTACCTCACCAAATGGGATTAGCTGATTGTTATCCACGAAGTTCTTGAACCACCTCTTGTATCCATCTTTGACAGTGTATTCTCCCGATTCATTATCAGCCCATATTTGCTTGTCCCTCTCCCCATTCCCACGAAGAGGAATTTGTAGCACTCTCTGGCCTGCCTCCACCGACATACATGACGTAATCATTTCCCAATCCCATTGCTCCGTATCAGGGTCAATGAGTTGGCGGACCGTAGCGTCCACAGGCAGATTCCTAGGAGCCGAGTCCACGAAAGCAGGCGAGCCACCAGGGAGCCAACTACCACCCCAAATCTTCACATCCGACCCATCCCCAATCCTCCAGCGCAGGCCTCCGGACAGAAATTCCTGAGAGCTCATCAAGCTCCGCCAGATAAAGCTCGGCCGGGGACCAACGTGTGCATCCAAAACCAAAGTATGCTTGTGATATTTTGTTTTTAAAATTCTGGCAATAAGGGAGGATGGTCGCTTGAATAACCTCCACAATTGCTTAGCAAGCATCACAGTCTTGAAACCTTCAAGGTCCCGAAATCCTAAGCCACTCTCCTCTTTAGGAAACAACATCCCATCCCTTCTCAACCAGTGAACCCGCCTCTCAGTCCCTTTCTGTCCCCAATAGAAGTTCGTAATAAGGCTATGAACGTCGTTGATGATTGAGGCCGGGACTCGAAACACGGACATGGCATAGGTGAGTTGCGCTTGAGCCACAGCCTTAATAAGAGTCTCTCTTCCTGCCACCGATAGAGTTTTCTCTTTCCATCCCTTCAACTTCTTGCGAATACGCTCCACCAATCCAGAGAAGATATCCTTTTTGGATTGGCCTATGACTGTTGGCAAGCCCAGATACTTATCATGCTTATCGACCAGTTTCATTTGAAGGGTGCCCGCGACCATCATTCGCCGGTGAGGAGTGAACTTCTCACTGAAAGAGACAGCTGACTTTGGAAAGCTAACATGTTGCCCCGATTCCCTTTCGTACATTTCCAGAATATACTTCAACACTTCGCTTTCCTGCTCAGTCGCCCTACCAAAAAACACACAGTCATCTGCAAAAAATAGGTGTGAGATGGTTGGGGCTCCACGAGCCGGTTGAATTCCATGGAGTCGCTTTTCTCGGACGGCAGCCTTTGTAATGGCAGAGAGCCCCTCAGCACAGAAGAAGAACAAATATGGTGAGAGAGGGTCACCCTGTCTCAGACCCCGACTCGGGACAAATACCTCTGATTGATGGCCATTCACTAGGACAGAGTAGGAGACTGTACGGACACACTTCATGATTAAATCGATCCATCTCTTATCAAAACCCATACGGTTCATGACGCCCTCCAGTTAGTGCCACTCCACTCGGTCGTAGGCTTTGGCCATGTCAGTTTTTGCAGCAAACATTCTCGGTCCCGTCCTCGACTTTGCCTTCATCTTACGAAAGCATTCAAAAGCCGCCATAATATTATATGTAATAAACCTTCCTGGGACAAAAGCATTATGTTCCTGAGAAATCACAAGATCGAAGACACCCTTCAGCCGGTTAGCAAGAACTTTTGCCACTAATTTGTACAACACATTGCACAAACTAATAGGTCGGAAATCTTGGGGGGTAGTCGGCTCCTTAATCTTCGGGATCAGCGCGATGAGGGTATGATTTAATAGTGGTGGCATCGGTCCTCCTTCTAGAATTTGTAACACCGCATTGG